CTGTAGCATGATCCATAAATATTAGCTCCGGGTCACTGTGACGTTGATCTTAACGGCTTGACGTCACTTCATAGGGGTTCACACTTTACCACTCACACCGAATAATTCACCTTTGCTAAGGACAAAACGTTTGCAGGCATGCAATGTGTGAGGCAGCGACCAATGACTTCACACATGACCGAACTTTATGCAGTGTAAAACTGGTTGTGATGAAAGCGAAATTCACGGTAGACTGTTGGAACCAGCATACGTATACATCATGCTTGTCAGCTTCTCCTGAGTCAAATTTTCCGTTCGATGACTGACAAGCAATTTTTCCCGTCAAAATCTCGTCATTAGTGCATGTTGTACCCCTGTCAGTCTTCCTGATTGGAAGCCTCGGTTTGGATGTCAAACGTGTTTTTTTTAGGTAGACAATAGAAAATGAAATTCAAAACGTACATGACCGGACTGAATCAAACACAAAGACAGTCTCACGCCTATATTCTCAAGTTGGTTTTGCAATTTTCATCGAGAGCGGGATCGATGGATAACATAGAGGTTAGTACACAGAAGAATTCACTGAAGACCCGTAACGCGACCCCGTCCAGTTTTTTCGCTCGGTTATTATTTGCAAGAGAACTGAAAATGTTTCGATTGAAGCGATGGATTCAGGAAACGCAAAAAGATCGATTCATGGGCTAATGGTTTACTGACACCGGGAAAAATCATACCGCTTAAACTACATGATCGCCACTGGGTCGAGGATAGCAAGAAAATGGACAACTAAAAAGCACTAACCCGAAATCATAAAACTCCTCGTTAGCACACACTCAGTCAGAGAGAGCTTATGGGACACAGTTTTGCTACTCACATTTAACGACTCGAAATAGGTTAGCGCACTGGCTACGTGATTGGCAAATCGAAGTAGTAGTCGAATATCCAAACGAGGATAATCGTTTGTCACCGACTGGTCACTGGAACTGTCTGCACTGGGACTGGGCGATTCGCTATCGTGATTGTACTCGCGTAGTAGATCGGATTCGTGTGCACGATGTTTTCGCAAATAGTCCCTTAGATTGCCGTGTACAGCGTACTCCATCAAAATCATCAGAGGTCCTGTCAATAGAGTAACGAAATTAGCCAGATACAAGATTAAGAACATGGCATGTTTATTTGCTTGCCATAGATCAAATCAAGTCGATTATCGCTTTTATTCATCGTAATGGATGGATTTTCAGCTTCTTGCACTCCACGATCATTTATCATCGCATATGGCCACAAAGGAAAGTGAAAAACAGCATCGCACATTCAGAGGAATGCGGCGTTTGAATATGGATATAAATTACGTAGGAAATTCAAATAAGAATAAATAATAATAATAAATAAATACCAGTCTATGAGGAACGGTCGGAGATGTAAACCCTATAGTGAGGAGAGAAACGGGCCTACTTATTTAGAGAGGAGATAAATGCTACCCCCGGAAAGATCGGTCCCACATCAAGAGATGATACAGAACAGGTACAATTCAGGTTATTTCATAAAAAGAAGAGCTTTTTCCTATGATGATACAGGGCAGTTTTGGCCCGGCGACGAATTACCGGCACATAAAAGCGTTTTCCTCATGACAATTATGGTGTGAAGCTTTTCTTAGAGTATGAAGAAGAGAAAGTCCCTCTCCAGACAAAGGGCGAACAGGTTAGTAGTCTACTATTACTAAATCAGAAAAGCTTACAGAGGACACAAACCGTACGGAATATCTACTGGGAGCAATTCGTGATGTTTGTTTTCACTACGATATGATCCTCGTAGCCAACCGATTCATCATCACATCCTACGGCGCATGAAGCCTGTGAAACACGTTCATGAAACTGAAATCAACTCGGGGGAGAGAACAAGCAGGTGTACTCGGACCGTGAGCTGCTACCTATGACAATCTCAATATTTTTTTGTTTACTACTGCAAAGTTCAAAACTGACGGAAAACCAATATTACTCGGAATCAGTACCATATTCCAAACAGAGCTCAGTTTCATTGCGACCATCCACTCATGTACCTCTTATACTTCAAGTTTCGACTTTATGTCACCGAGACGATTCTGACGCCTGGCGGCAAAGTGTGGCAAAGTGTGATTTTTAGACGTATCCTTGCAACGTGAGATTTCACACTCTGCGATGATTATACGCGTCACACGACCGCAGTATGGGTCAGAACAAGATGTCACCTAGCGGGCCACCACTTGAGTTTCGGTTACTGTCCGAAAGTCAGGACGCTACCGGAACCATTCTCTGATGCACACAAAAGACGGAACAATAAGAGCACAACACATAGTAGAAATAAAATTGCTTTTTTATTCCCGGTATAGTTACTAGAGAGAATTGAAGAACTTGGAAAGAAGTTTGCGATAAAATATCTACTGTCAGGGCCATAGTTGCGAAAAATTATTCGGAGAAGGCGATCATATCCGCAAACACAATCACTACTTTCATTTCAAAGTTATCATATGGTCAAATTGGATATAGGATTGGATGTAGAATGGATTTCAAATAACTTAAATATATACACTTGTATGGATGATAACGGTAATGATATGATACATACGTAGCGAATTGGTGTAAACCTTCTCTCAATACAATGCAAATGAGCCGCATCGACCGGTGAGCACTTAGCTACCTGGTCTCATATCAACCCAAACAGATTCGGTCAGATGAACTGATTTCGCCTGTGTGTAGATAACCACGATCTAACTGGGTATCTTGCGTGTGGTGATGGTAGTGGCGTCGGTGCCCAGACAGACAAACAGACAGACAGACATTAGTTCACAGACCGCATACCGGGATAGTACCAAAAGTTTCGGGTCTCTGAACTATGTCACGAGTTCAGGTATAGGTGTGAACAAATAAAGTCTTTCTGCTCACACTGTGGGTTTATTTGTCGAGGGACCAACCGCGTTCAGGGTAGTCAAATTGAAGAGTACGTGGTATCTATGGCTCAATGTTGAGGAGGGTAAAAACTGAAATATCGACTCACCCCTATTGTGTGGCACGTGAACGCAAAGGCGTGGACACAAAGATGTTGGTAGAACTTAGTAAGCGTGAGAGAACGCGCTTATATCAAACACCCAGGACACTGGTTTCCGGCCGTATAAAACTAATATGAAAATTACAAGCAAATGTGGCCTGTAGGGATAACAAAATATTTCTGGCCCATTTCAACAAACAAATCGAGTGAAGACCTCGGTGCCACTTGGTTTCATTTTGTTCTGGGGGGTTGTGCCTTGTTTCAGTGAAAAATCTGTTTGATCATTCGTTTCTCGACGAAGAAGCCAAAACCGTTCTAGGATAAAACGAACAGAAGAAACGCATCTGTCATATAGGTCGTACATATCCTCATTCAAATGCATACGCATGACACATTCGGTATTTACCGGGTATAGTGATATTCATATAGCTTTGTTGAAAGCGTTTCAACTCAAATCCCCTCAAACACGAGCTCATTCTTGTTATTGTTCTTTCCTACCTGTACAAGTTGAGTCACTACAAGCATACTTACACACAACCAAGTCTGTGCTGGAAACATCGAACTGTACTAACTGGTGTATGGCAGAAGGCGAAATTTCGATTAAAGTCGCCGCAGCAGCATTGAAAAAGTTTGTTCTGATATGCTTGGACAAACCACATAAAAGTGTTGCAATTAANAAAAGAGGACACTGTCCATGGGTTCTCCTCTGGCAGATAATACTTTGATAATAATTGTAACACACGTTTTTTCTGAACTTTTCCCCAGATGGCCATGAGAGAATACTATACACGAGAACATCCCCAGCATCATTGAGTCTTTTCGTTGGACAATGCATCTCTAATCTTTGTGCAGCCAAACGGGAACTTCAATGGAAGCTGGGTAACATATTCCATTGAAACGCTGTTAAGTGTCTCAGTTACGCTGAACTAGCCAGTCTGATTAGCAGTTAACCGGGATTTGGGGCGTGTTACGCGGGTCACCAAATAGGCTACCACGGCGAACGATGTTTGCCGAGGCCTTTAGTGGACGGAATAAATCCAAGAGCAGTCAAACTAAGACCTGATAAGAGGGTATGAAAAACCTAAACACGTCCGCGGTCACAGGTCCCATTAAGCTCCCTGGTTGCGGATCTCGGAATGATCTTACCGGGTGGTTAGAGACACTGAGTAATATGGCTGTATCGTAAATAGTGGCGTTCGTGCATCTTCTCAATTTATTTTCAACCATAATTTACTGGAGTTTTCCACTTCTCTTCGGCTCTACTCTCAACCTCCCTGTTTTTCTCCTACTGCTTCATCCAAATGGGCAGCCAAAAGGCAGCAACCGAAACCGGTGCACAAAAGTGCCTGGTTAATGGTTGTTAAAACTGAAACTGGTTAACCGGGACACGGTTGCTGTCCGCTGGGAAGAAGCTTTTCATGGGTATATGCGGAAGTTGTTTGACAGATGAGGATTATTATTGTGCCACACGTGTCTGAGTCCAGACAACGCCAAACATCCACGGTAAAAAGATCAGGTGAAGATCATAAACTCAAAGAAAACTCCAACAGGATGACGAACGGACACAGTTAGATATGCGAATTTTCCCTGTCACCTAGTACAATTCAAACTGTTACATGAAATAATCTGCCATTTTATTAATTGTCTTAGACGTGCATAAACAATATGTTAAGTGCCGGCCACCGCAGGTGGTCAATTAGATCGATCGGAATGTCATCAATTGCGAATCATGATAGGTCCGTGTGTTGGACATTGAGGATTGACGTGGTCAAACAACTGCCCGACGGTGGTTAACTGCGGAAGCCCTTGTTTATTCGTCCCGTTTCTTCCTTCTGAGTGAAAGAATTTCGTGGATGAGAACCGACAGAAATCAATGGTTATAGTTGCCCTCTGTTTCCTTTAAGTGGAAAGCAATCTAAGCATTGGACATACGAACAGGAAAGTAGCCAAAGTTGCTCAGCGAATAATTCTGCGGTTGTGAAAGTACGGTTCGATGTGATAGACCAAAACATACTACCATGGCTTCAATTTCCCTTGTGTAACGCTGGCCTGTCATGATATATTAGTGACGTATGAACAGGTGCCTGGAATAGCCACATGATATTCAACCCCAACATCCTTTTCCAGTCACCTCTTGAGTTCAACCTTTCGGTTCATCACAAAAAATTTCTGTCGCAACCCTCGGAATCTACTCAGCCAGGTGTGAACGAGGTGGACACGTCCGGCATGCTCAGGAGAACGCGCACCGGGCACACAACTAACCAAACGTACAGGTAAACGAGACAAAAAGACGGAAGAAGCACGTTCACACACGATGTGATTCCAGTGAAGCATATGCATACATCTACATTGGCAAAGCAGCCCTATGTCGCTAGGCAGTGCAACCGAGCTACTAACCCCGACACAATCACCCGGAACACATGCGTGCACGCCGTAAGTTGAACGGAGCATCCTTGTTGCAAGCAGAAACGCACACACACAGGTAAAGCATTGCAGCCTAACACAAATGCGTCCAAACACCAACAGTAAGTGAGCAGGTCGAGAAATCCTCAATTATAGGCACAATGACCGGACTTCTAGGTCCGAAGCA